CTCATGCGGTAAATACATCCGCGCGGAGGTACGACCTGTCTCTTATACACATCTAGATGTGTATAAGAGACAGGGCTTGGTCTGTACCCTCTCTCCCACTCTCTCTCTCTCTCTCTCTCTCTCTCTCTCTCTCTCTCTCTCTCTCTCTCTCTCTCTCTCTCTCTCTCTCTCTCTCTCTCTGGCCGATACCTGTTAAGGTGGCGCCTGGCTGCAGGTACATCGGAGACGAAGCTGGAGCTATGGCGCCGCAGGTGAGTCTCCTTGGCCTCCACCAACCAATACTCTCTCTGTCTACTAGCACCCAGTGCTGAAGACTACTGCTACCGCTACCACTCCTGCAGAGTGCCGCTGCCGAGTGCTGAAGACTACCTCCTGCCCTTTTCACGTGAAGTGCCTGGGAACTGCCTGCAGCCTACAGTGCGGGTCAGCATTATATAGTGCTGGCCCGTCCGAGAGGCTGCTCGTGCCTATGCCAAAATGTGCCAGACCCTGGGGTTGATGCTCTACAAAACAGGCATGAAGGCCTGAGCTAAAACCCCGGTCTGGTGCCTGAGTTTCAGGGTAGGTCGATCTTGCGAGGGCCTGAAAATGGCCCGTCGTTTTCAGGCTGGAAGTTGAAACGACACAGGGCCTGAAATAGGCCCTACCCCTACTGACCCTTACTCTACCAGATCGGGCTCTGCTGGGCCCGTGTGGTACGGAGTATGCCACACTCCCCCCTCCTTGAAAGACCGAGCTTACCTGTGAGGGTGAAGCTGTCTGGTGGAGGGAGGGACTGAAGTCCGGGTGGGAGGTTGTGCAGCTTCCGTTGCTAGCCGTTTCTTCTCATAATGAGCATAGATGTCAGGAGCGGAGGCTTGCAAAGCTGCCCGGGAAATCCATCGCGTGTCATCGGGGTCGCACCACTTGAATGTGACTTTGTACTACATAGGCTTGTTGTCGTGCTTGCGATGCGTGATGACGCGGTCGACGTCCTGATGACCATCCATGGAAGGAGGGTCATGTGATCGTCGTCCCGGGACGTCGTCGCTCTTGGCTGGTGTATATGTGGCCAGCTTGGAGGCGTGAAAAACCGGGTGCACCGTGAGGTGCGACGGGATTTCGATCACAAATGAAGGGCCATCGGGCTCATCACCCACGGCTGATGTGACGGGCCATGGTCCAAACCACTTTGGAAGTAGCTTGCGGGATACATCCTGCTCGAGTGCAAACTCTTCCGTGGAGACCCAAACAAGGTCGCCGACGCGGATGGGGCATGGCACACGACGCCTGTTAGCTTGCTGTTGCATGCGGACTTGAGCCTTTTGCATGTTGGCGCGGGCTTTAGCCAGCAATTCCCTATACTTCCGAACGGAGGCGGGCGAACAAGCGGCGACAATGTCGGCAGTCCTTGGAAAAGGAAGATCAGCGAAGATGTGGCCTTTCCGGCCACGGTGGTGTAACTCGAACGGAGTCACGCCGATCGCCGGGTGCACCAAAGTGTTGTAGGCGAATTCGATGTCGGGGAGGCGGTCCACCCAATCCTTCTGATCCGTACGGATGAGGGTGCGAAGCATTACCTGAGCGGTTTGATGTGCCCACTCCGTCTGCCCGTCTGTTTGAGGATGCCGAGCCGAACTTGGTTTCATCTCGGTGCCGAACTCTTTCATGGGAGAGGTCCAAAATGCTGACATGAAACGAGTGTTGCAGTCGCTGACGATGTCTTCCGGAATGCCGTGGCCACAAATCCAGCCGGTATGTAAGAGGCGTGCAAGTTCCGGAGCCGTGGCGTGGTACTTGCAAGGAAGAAATCGTGCAATGGAGAGGCCGGGCTCCCGTGGAATAGGCAACGGGCGTAACTCACCGTAGGGGTTGCGATTGCGGGGTTTGCTTCGTTGGCAAACTTCGCAAGAGTCGCAATACCGAGTGACGTCGGTAATGAGGTCGGGCTACCGGAATCGCTGTCGAAGTCTTGCGATCGTACGGTTGACTTCGAGGTGGCCGGCGAGTCTCGAGTCGTGGTACTCGCCGAGGAGACGAGTCCGTAAGCGACGGTCGTGTGGGACGCATAGTAAGTCCTTGCCTCGTGAGTGAAGCAGCAGGTAGCCATCGACAATGCGATAATGGCTGGCCGGCGGGTGATCCGATGATAGTTGCTCGTAGAGCGTGCCATATTCCGGATCGGACTTGTATGCTCGCACAAAATGCTGATGTAGGGCTTCGTCGAAACTGAACGCGTGGTGAGTCACTGCGCAAAGATCCGATCTTCGCGAGAGAGCATCCGCGGCTCGGTTGGAGGCGCCCGGAATGTGTTTCGATGTGAAGTCGACTGATCGATGAAGCACATCCATCGAGCAATCGTGTTGCTCACCGTGTCTTGTGTCTTGTAGTAGGTCAATGGGTTATTGTCGGTCACCCAAGTGAACCTACGACACCCGAGGAGGAAGTGTCGCCAACGCTTGAGTACCGTGACAAACGCAAGCAACTCCTTCTTCCCTGCATCATCAACCGAGTTGATGGGAGGCACCTTTTGGCTGAAGTACTCAACCGGATGCCAATTCCGTCGTGTTGTTCCAAAACTGCACCCATGCCGTAGCCGGAAGCGTCCGGAGTCACTCTCGTAGGCAAGGTGGGATCGTAGATACTCAAGACGGGAGCGAGGAGCAATGCCGTCTTCAATTTGTGGAACGAACTGCGGACTTCGTCAGTGAACTGGAAGGGCACATGTGGAGACTGCAACCTGGACAAAGGTGCGGCAATCCGTGCGTATCCTCCGATGAAGCGTTGGTAGTTACCCGGCCAATCCCATAAAAGAGCGAACCTCCGTGGTGTTGGTCGGTTCTGGCCAATCCTGAATGGCCTTGATCTTGTCCGCAAGCGGACTGATGCCTTGCGGCATCACAAAGTGGCCCAAGTACTCGAGCTCTTGCTGTGCAAATTCGCACTTGGCTCGGTTGGCCTTGTACTTGGCGGTACGTAGCCTGTCCAGAACAGCACGTAGATGCACGATGTGCTCGTCCAAAGTTCGGCTATACACCAGGATGTCATCGAGGTAGATGAGCACGAACCGGTCCAACATGTCGCGAAACTCCGTTGTCATTGCCGCTTGGAAGATGGCGCGGGGCATTCGTGAGGCCGAATGGCATTACGACCCACTCGAAGTGCACGTACCGTGTCTTGAACGCGGTTTTGTACCTATCTCTTGGATGGATCTCGAGCTGGTGGTAATCGGATTTGAGGTCCAACTTGGAGAAATACTTGGCGTCGCCAAAGCATTCGAGAAGATCGTCGATGCGTGGGAGCGGACCGACATTCTTAATGGTTTGAGCATTAAGCTTGCGATAGTCAATGCATAAGCGCAGCTCCTTGTTCTTCTTCCGAACGAAGAGAACAGGTGCACCGTAGGGCGAGCAGCTAGGGCGAATCCAGCCCTTGTCAATGAGGTCATCGAGTTGCGTTCGAAGTACTTCGAGTTCCTCCTCGCTCATGCGGTAAATACATCCGCGCGGAGGTACGACCCCGTCTTCCGGGATGATCTCGTGACGAATTGGCCGATGCGGTACGATTCCGACAAGGGCTTCAAAGACGTCGCCATAGGAGTCAAGAAGCTGTACAGTTAGGAGGGATGTGGGAACCGATAGGAGTCAGACTGGGAGCCAGATGGTGGGGTCGGGTTGAGACTGGGATGGGATCGGGATGGGCTCGGGTTGGGATCGGGATCGGGATCGGGATGGGGTCGGGATTGGATCGGTTGAGGTCGGGATGGGATTGGGATGGGATCGAAATGGGATCGAGTTGGGATCGGGATGGGGTCGGGATAAGATCGGATTGCGTTCGGGGTGGGGTCGAGGAGAGAACGAGGTGGGGATGAGGCGGATGCGCTTCGGAGATGGGATGGGATTGGGATTGAAGCCGGGTTAGGAGGGATGTGGGATCCGATGGGGGTCAGACTGGGAGCCAGATGGTGGGATCAAGTTGAAGTCGGGACCAGGATGGTATCTGGATAGGAGCGTGGTAGGAGATATGTTGTGGCGCAATGCGATTGGGGCGGGATGAGGGTTGTGATTGGGAGGGGGAGGGTGTAGGATGAGGTGGGATCGAGATAGGATCGATCTTGGGGTCGGGTTATGATCGGGGTGGGGTTAAGATGGGAATGGGATGGGACCGACGCGAAGTTCCAGACGGGATCAAGACAGGAAAGTGTGGGGGGGAGGAGGACAAAGTTGGGATTGTGGTGAGGGAAGTACCGGAGTGGGGTTCAAGGACGGGATCGAAGGAATGGAGGGTTGTGCGCGTGGAGAGGAAGCAGCGGAAGGGGTGGAGGGGGGGGGGGGGGGGGGGGGGGGGGGGGGGGGGGGGGGGGGGGGGGGGGGGGGG